TTTGTTTTACTTTATGTTCAAAACATCTTTACTTTCTTTTTTTTTCTACCATAGTATATTTTAAAAACAAAACAATAGCAAAAACATTGATAAAACAATTCGTCCAACTTTAAAATAATGAATTTATTTTCATCACATCAGAAACTCATCTTACACATTAAAATTACTGGTACAGAATAAATATATAACTTAATGCTTGAATCAACAGTTTGCAAGGGAAATGTTCACAAAATATTCACTTCTGTTCCAAAGAAAAAACAAAATAAAACAAAAACAGACTCTTGGCATCCAGACTAGCAGTCTAAAGAATTCTGACCACAAATACTCATTCAGAGGAACCACCACTTAGCCTCAATTGGGAAGAAAACAACCACTGTCTCATTCAAATCAGAAAAACAGGGAAATAAACATACAAAACAATTAATGCATACATTAATGCAACACGTTCAAGACACTACGACAATTGTTACTTATAGTTCAGTGTAGAAGATCGGCTTTTCGGAGACAGAAGTAAAAATGAAGATTGAGAAGAATGATGTTGCAGATATTAGTTGATTTCATGGAGGGTGCAAAGCAATGTCAGCAAGTTCAACTGAATCTAATGTTTGAGAGCTTAAGAGAACTTGCAGCAGATTTATTGTAAAATGTGAATGTATGTAAGTTTAATGCTGTGGATCTTAAAGTTTAAAAGACCTTTCACACCAGCCATGTACATGTAAATTATGAGACTTGAGAACCTGTAGTATAGTGTGGTGTAGTCTGCTGTGAGGATAAAAAACAACTGCTAGGCCACTACTAAAAGAAATAAGTATCACTGAAGAATTAGAATACAACTTCTCTAAAAGTTTTCTATATCTGTTTTAAAAAATGGAGTGATTCTTCTTCTTAGCAGTTTAATTGATACAGAAAAAGCTACTAAAGCCTACTTAAAAATCTGATAAGGATCACTGAGACAAAGGATGATAATTGAAAATAAGTAGGCCTAAACTACATAACCATTGCTAAACTAAAATATTAAGTTAATATTTCATATTATGATGACAACTATGGAGAAAGTTTAATAATAAATTGTGTTTGGCAATGAGATTCTCGATCTGTAGCATGCAAACAAAAAGTTAAGAAAATATATAATATACCTTTGCAAACATTCCAAGCACCACAGAATGTGATGACAAAAATAGAACAAAAGTGAATGAATCAAGGTATCTTATTATTTACACATAGACAAGGGCAGAACCAGACAGTATTCTTTGAGGCTAATGGCACCATGAAGATAATTATGCGGTACAAATGGATCCGTGAGTGCATATGTTGTTCAATTAAAAGAATAAAATAACAATGAAAGTATAATTTCAATCTTTAAAGCAACTGAAATAAAAACTAAATTGGACTGGTGCAAGTATCTAGGGTAGCAAACGTTAAAAATGAGAAATAGAAATTATAATTTGACAAAGATAAATGCTAAACATTTTATATACATCTCAGTTTCCCTAGGGTATGTAGGTGGATCCTAAGTAAACTTCTCATGATAAAGACTACATCTATAACTACTTAATAAATTCAATCTTTTAAATTTCCAAAAATGATCTAGGTAAGTTTCAAACATTATGTAGATCTATCTCTCGTTTTAAAATTTGAAACAGTAACTCCCTACAATTCTTAAGACAGTTGTCACAGTTCTGAAAGTACATTGCAATCTGTCTACAAAACTGAATAGAGTATACTTTATTGCTTGACATGCCATTTGTCCCCTGAGTCGACTATCTTCTCCTTTCTCATCATCACATAATATAGTGTTTTTTGGGGAAAAAAGTTAGTGATGATGGTTTAATGATGATACTAAAAAATGATACTGGCCTATATAAGCAATAACACAAATCAACTAAAGTCAAGACTTCATTCAAATATTTCAATTTACTTCAGTGAAAGTTAATTACTAATTTCCCAGTTCCGTTAATAATTATAATAATCAACAGTTTTTATAAATTGATTACTTTTTTTTTGGTATACTAATTTACTTAATACAGGGAATATACATAAATGAGGGACAAATTTAAAATCAAACCACATTTTAAAACATTAGTACAGGTATTTAAGATAAACAGTCAAGTCATATGTCCCACAACGCATCGAATAAAACTGATTAGTAGGATCTTTTTAGCTTTTACATTGAGATCTTATTATCTGAACACTGCTCAGGAATTTATTAATTAAAAAAACAACTATGCCAGACTAGGAGTAGAGTGATCAAATCAAATAAAATCTTTGTTATAATTCTTATATTTTTTTCCCAAGCAGAAAGAGGAGAAAATTAATACATGTATTATAAAGCATGGCAATGTGAACAATATAATTAAAGAGCCATAAACAAAGGAAGACAATCAATTCAAAACGGAAGCATACATAAACAGTCCAGTATTTTCATGGTTGTTGCCCTTTGTTCACAATTAAACTTTGAGTGCATGTTTATTCTTTTTTTTTTTAGCAGACGAAATCACGTGGCAGTCAATATCAAATTTTACAGTAATCGCAAAAAGACAAGTGCATGGATAGTACACATTTAAAAAGACAATTTCATTTAAGTCACATTATGTCATCTCACAGAGAATTTAACTATACTAACATAACGAATTCAATCATAATAATTTCATCAATAGTTTACATGATTCGCATTTTCTGAGGGGAAGTCAGTCAGTCGTCATCACGCGTGCACACACACACACACACACACACACACACACATACACACACACACACACACACACACACACACACACCGCACCAAACTACTCCCCCCCCTCTCTCTCTCTCTCTCTCTTTCTCTCTCTCTCTCTCTCTCTCTCTCTCTCTCTCTCTCTCTTTCCCCCTCCCCCCTCTCTCCCTCTCTGTCTGTATCTATCTCTCTACGTCTATACTCTCCCTCCCCATTACACATTCACAAAAGCACACCCCCAGTACTGTACACCTCGTGAGTACCATAACGTAACGTACCAAAAACCAAACGGAACAGACAAAAGCACATAGTACTGTACGACATTATTCACTCTCACACACCAATATATATATACATTTGTAATTACAAGCCCTGAGCTTTGTGGGTAGTCCATTTTGTAAACACGATGCCCTCTCCGTCTTGAAGTAGGTCGATCTCTGGCACTCTTTTATAACAAGAGTATCGTACACGTACTTTACTTTGCTCACAGTGCCCTGTAGCTACTGAGTCTTATTCAATTATATCATTTTTAACAGTATCACGCATTCATATAATAGTTGTAAAGGCCTTAAACTAAACAACCAAACTGTTTTGCAGTCGAAGTTCAGACGACAAATGTTATAATTCGTAATCTCTTTGCTCTATTCATTTACCTAGGTACGCAAAGTTCATGATCATAAAGAATGCATTTTTATTTACTCTGGGAGATCAGTAGCATACCCCTGTATGGAGAATTGTTCCATGATAACTATAACGGTGTCTTAGTTCATTTTTTCCCGCCTTCAAAATGTGCATGTAGGCCTGCATAACATTCGTAGCAGCTGTTGTAGTTATCCTGTAAAAAAAAAAAAAAAGCATTTATCTCTACGTCCTTTTTCTAATTCTGTGTCTCGTGTTGGGACTCTCTGTCCCGAAAGAGGCAAAAAATTGAGGAATAATCCATGATATATTATACCACCTGTTGGTGACAGATGCTTCATTAATCATTCGAAACGGAAAAAAAGTTTTATGCGAAACTAAACACCCCCATGTGAAGTATGGTTGGATGATGAAGGAGACAGCATTGGATACATATTATGGTAGGCTATGCATTTGGTTCAGTCTTGATTACGCGAAGATAAAATTACGAGGAGAAATAATAGCATGAAGATCTTTCGCTCAGCGCTATACAAGAATCGAAGATGTGTACAAAGGAAACGTACAAACAAACAAACAACAACAACAACAACAACAACAACAACAACAAAAAACAATTACTTTTCAACAAGTCACATTATGCTACTACATTGTAATGATGGTAAGAAATACCCCCCCCCCCTCCCAGAGCTACAAATATAACATGTGTGGACACATGATACCTTACTTCTTTCTTCATATTGCTACCCGTTTTTCCGCGAGTTGTCTGTCAGCAAACGTGGGTTATTTATTACTTTTGGAAACACTAGACTGTGTAAACAGATACACTGCCGGCTCAGTGACCCATGCTGTTTCTGTCAACCTCAAAGAAGGTAACCTTTCTCAACGCAACGGTTCGGGTCACTGGATCATACCAACGACAAGAAGGCGAATCAATTACTAGCTTAACATATCTGTTTTCTTTCTGTTGAGGATTAAAGAAGACAACTCTAATAAAGCAAAACGCTATGGCCAACAACACTATCTCCTTCGTTGCCCTCCAATCTGGGCAAAATTCCGAGTCTTGAGTCTTTTCAGTTTAGTTTAATAAGGGTTTTCGGCAATCGCAACTGCACAAGGTCTTGAGTCTGATTGAACGGTCATATGACACATAAAGATCAATGTTTTCATGAGCTTGTGTTTTAAAGACGTCATACGAAAAAAATGAAGGGGTGATTTCACCAAGTATTTCAAAGTGCAGGTGGGTGTTGAAAAGTGAGTAGATCACTCTTAGTATGCTCTTCATCTGAATCCCCAGTCCCTAAATCCAACAGTCAAGCACTTGCATTCTCTAACGTAAAATAAGGCTACTTCCTTGACGCAGACAAACGTCAGATTAAAATGGGTGGGACAAAATTTTTATAAATACCCGGTACCAGACCTTTCGTTAACATATTCTTTTTCAATTGAGTCCCCCGAGCCCGCGCCCTCCCCCCCCCCCCCCCCAAACCGGATCACTAGCTTAATTTCCGAGAGTAAATGAACAAAAATGCTCTGAACCCGTTGAAAAACGGATAAACAACCCATCCTACCCCCACATATGCCCCCCCCTTTAACATCTCGCAAATTATACCCTTTTATACTATACGCCCCCCACCCTCCATTTTCTTCCTTTAGTTTCTGTTCCTATTGGCAACACCCTCTGAGCTCGTCTGTCGGACCAGTAACAACAGTCAGTCAACGGGAAAGTGATGATAAAGAAATTAATAAGAGATAGATAGTTGACTCTGTACTAGATCTAATTATTTTCTTTTTTCCATTAATTTCAAAACGAAGATTTGCAAAATGAACCCAACTGTTATGTAAGAGATATGCTGAGCCGCATCTGTCAGGTAGGTTCCTTGTAAATCCAAGCCCTGATGTAAGATTCCGCAGAGCTGAAAAGCACATAGAGTACAGCTAAGAAGTATGGGAACCGTACAAAGAACTACTGCAGTTCACAAAACGATCTCTCTAAAAAATGACAAAACTATGGTCCACACCAATGGTTTGGCATATCTGATGAAGTAGTGATTGGATGTATAAAAATGATAAATGTAACAAAAACAAGGAACTCCTGCCTCGTTTCCGTTCTGAAAAAGTGATGTAGTCCTTTAACGGCTTTCTAGAAACCCCCAGTGATTATGAAAATTATTCTTGTCTTGTATAATATTCCAGCTTAATACAAAATCAGAATTCAACAGTTACTTCATTGATTCTGTTCTTTTGGCCCGGACCCAGATCGTCTCTCAGACTCTCAGATCAGTATCAAACGAAAGGATTCCAGCGCAAGCGCATGCGTAATGGAGTAGCAGAAAGAGAGAGTCCCTGCACTTATTGCCTGCGCTCATTAACTTGAAGGGGGGAAATGAAACAGGAAATTAATTCTGTAGAAGAAGGAAGCTTCTCCCAGTGGCCATCTTTGTCAGGGTGAGAGTAGACAAGGCGTGGAGGGAGCTGGCATTTCTTTAAGAGAAAGTGTTGAACTTTGTGTACCAACGACATGGCGTGGCCGCTGTTGACTCCTCCCAACTGGTGTTTCCAAGATTTTTTTTCCAATTATTATAGGAAAAAGCAGGGAAATCCAAGATTCAATAAATGTCATTATTTTCTCGTACACATGAACACAAGAAGAGTATGATTTCTCGGTGTCTCGTCTTACTGACTGACGGTGATCATAATATACCAAAATAAATATACACAAAAATAAAACAAATAAATTATAATTTGTCCTGGAGATATATTTATACTCCCAAGTTCACACACAGTTTTTGTTCTATGCAGTCAACCATCTACATGTTTCCTTACTGTGATTGTTATGATACCTTACACTATGTGAAAACAGCACAAGTTTTTCCTCAACCCAAAGGACATGTGAAGCGAGGCTGTTAGCAACGATCACCTTATCTCCGATACGTCGTGATTCGTAACGGTAGTCTCTTTGGGCACGGAACGAATGAAGTGAAAAGTTTATCATTCAATAGTTGACCTTAAACTCCACACAAAACAAACAACGGCGTTCGGCAGTTTTATGTAATCTTCCTGGTCACACAAGCTACACACAATATGTCCCATAGGTATGTACACTCTTCGAGACGACCAATAGAGAGGGCTGTGATGTGTGTGTGTGGGGGGGAGGGTACAGTATTTCAGAAGAAATCAAATCTTTGACGAAATAATGAAACAAAAAGCTCCCTGGTGTATGAGGACCGTTATGGTGAGGGTGACTGAGTCATATCTCCTCTACACGTTTGACCGAACAGTCTGGTCTACAGATGTTTAGACATGCCATTATTTTATCACAGATGCTGCCTCGGAGCGGAGATCCTTGGTCTCTCCTTCACGAAGACAGATCATTGTGGGTACTTTTGGCCTTTGGCGTCGGTGACATATTTCTTCCCAAGAAGTCTTTCTTCACGGACACACCAACGGGTCTCCCATGTCGTCCTCTCCCAGTGCTCAGTTTATTTGCAGTGTTTGTGAGCACACTCTTGGTGCATAAAATGAGATTCTGACAGCATTAAAAGATAACCCCACATTTTTCCATTGCAGAATGTGGGGATCTTTATATCGGCTTAGTTACTGCAGTAACTATGGTTTTATCACAGATGCTGCCAATTCTTGGAAACCTGGAGAGTCTTTAAGTCACTCCAGGTATTGCAGTATTCAGTTCATGTCTCGTCTCTCAAGATAGCTCTTCACCTCCCAAATTTCATCTTACAAGAATGAGATCTAAGTTCGGAGCACTGAACAGTCTGATCGTAGTAAACGACTTCAGAAGCTGGGTCTCTGATTAGGAACTTGACGTGAAGATGTGACATGCAGTTGGCCACGCACTGACGTCCCAAAGGTTCCATTCTGTTGTCGACGGCGGTGAGAAAGTCGTGGCAGTAGACACTGTCTTGCTTCAGGAACTCTTTTCCTTCGCGCACATACACATCAGGGATGATTTCTGCCATGTTGTTTTTGGAGCAAGTGTTGTTGCAGATCATTTCGTCGTACACAATCTTGGCGTGCACGGACTTCTCAAAAGCGCAAATGGAGCAGACAGTCATCTTGTGTTTAACCAAGTCGTAGTGGCTAGCAGAAGACTGGACCTCTGATGTGGTCAGCAGATGGTCCAGATCCACCTTGGTGACTTCTGGGTAATCCGGGCAGTTGATGTGGATAACGTCCTGAGCTACGTTACCGCGGATCGCATGGATGGCAACTGTGCTTTGGTAAGAGCTAAGAGGTAGAGAGGACGGGCAAAAAGCATGAGCCTTGAGGTCTACCTGGTCCGGCAGACCAGGCTGGAAGCTGTCAGACAGGCGGCGGTTCAAACTCCTCATGAGGCCGTTCTCAGTCAGCGAGGGCATGTTGTCAGAAGAGGCAATGCCAGAGATGGCAACGCAAGCAGTGTGCAGCGAGTTGAGGATAGCGCTACAGCTGTCGTAGATGATGCTGTACACACGTTGTCGTTTCAGCTTCTTGGCCACTTTATCAGCCATATCCGAGCACAGATTCTGCCTCTCCTGATACACCTGATCGTTGATGATGTTGCATAGTTCCGTGAAGAGCCGAGCAGACGACGCCGTGTAGGCGTCTTTGATCATGGTCGCGTTGTCGTCATCCACTTGTCCAGGAAGGGGCAGGTAATAATTGGACACGGATCCGGACTCTTGGGCGTAGCACGGGTCTGCTTCTTTAGGCCACGGCAGCGCTGCCATGGTGATTGGCGTCTCAATTCCAGTGATCTCCCCTTGTACGAAAGCGCCGTCATACGGGTACTGGCCACCGCACTTGGTCACCATGACGGGGAAACGAGAGAAGCACTTGGTTGATCCGCGCCGTCGATCGAATAAAGGTTTACGCAGAGTTCTCAGGTCGGTCATAACCTTGGAGATTTGCCTCAACAGGTAAGACCGGACCCCGACTTCCACTAAAGCCAAATGCGAGATAGGACCCAATGTTCCCTCCGTGTACGGCTCAAACACTTTGATCTCCATGTCCAGCATGTTGGCTGACCAGTCGTAGCTGACAATCACGCCACTGGGCAGCACGACAGACGCCAGATTGCGCTGACCAAGAAAGCGCACAGACCTCACCATCCCGTCCGCTCCAGACATGCTGAGCGAGTACAGGGACTTGACTGTTCCGTCGCTCTTCTTGGGGCCGAACACCTGGATTACTGTACCGTTGGTTAGGGACGCCACAAAAAGGCGGGAATCACCAGGGTGCCAGTATGCATCGAACTTCTGAACTTTCGTATCCGAGAAACTGGGAAAGAAAGAACCGCGCGGGGGATGAGGTGTTGTGCCAAGATTCGGGAAGTTATACGGTGGCTGCTTCGTGACAAACTCTTCTTCGCTAGTCTGTGGCGTGTGGCCATCGTCCGTTTCCATTACAGTCCCTCCCACGGTTTCCTGAGGCTCCGCCTCTTTTTTGAGAACGGTGAAGTAAATCGCGATGACGACAGCACCCGCCACTAGGAGCAGAAAGAGAACCAACATGGCCGCCATCCACCAAAGTTTCCGCCTGGGTCGATACACGATACCAGAACCATTCGAGCGATTGCTATGTCTTCCTAGATGATCTTCACGCACAGGGTAAGCCACGCTGTACTTATCATGAAAGCTGTTGCCAGAATGATGGTGAGGCACTGGTGAGTGGTGGTTGCCGTTCATGCGCGGGGTGGACGGCCTGAAGGTTCCATGTCGGCCGTCGCTGCTGCTGCCGCCGCTACCGCTGTACATACCAGGCATCTGCTGGTGCTGAAGTTGTTGCTGGTGCTGCAGGTACTGGTGCTGGTGTAGGTGGGCATAGGGTACCTGGTACTGGTTCTCCTCCTCTCCACTGCCCGAAAGATGCTGCTGCGGGTGTTGGTGATGGTGGTGGTTGTTGTTGAAGTTGTTGTTGAAGAGAAGGCGCTCCTGGGCCGACATCTCGGCGTCCTCAGGGTCGTAATGCATATCGAAGTTCCGCATTTCTAAATGGGTCATAATCTGTTGATTGAAAATAATAGAGTTTGGTCAGCAATGATGATATGACAAATGGCAACGTCAGATAGATAAGGTAGGACAAGCTAGAATATGATATGACAACATGCAATGGGATGAAGTGAAGGATACGATATCAGCATCAGAAATTAGAGGGGATGTGTTATAGAGAATAATTCATGAGATACACTTTCTCAGTTTCGAATATGACCAGGAGAGAAATATAGAGGGGAAAACATTCGACGAAATTGGTTGAAACAAAATTTGGTGTGATAATATGAACAAAAACCAAGATTTTCTATCATGTTTGCTACATGAAAATGCAAACGCCTTGAAAAATTTGCAAGAGGTTGCAAACCCCGAAGCTCATATCGACAGGATGCCGTAAAAAGAAAAAATAAAGCATTATAAATTAATAACAGTACTAATAGAGAAGTAACGATCTCGAGTCCTGACTCCCTTTGTTCTTCACGTGGACACCAGAACACGCGTAGTGTTGTGCACGTAGCTTCAAAAATATTCTTTTCAAATGAAAAGGGCGGCATGTCTCATTGGAGCGATTTGTCACAAAAGTGGTGAACCTAAAATAACAACGACATGAGCGCAATCAACTATAATGACGTTCTCTCTGTACATACTTTTTTATTCTCTAAACTTCCATTCACGTTAATGCCACATAATGAATTAATTTCAGAGGGCCAAATTGCTTCTGCTTGAGTATAGCTCAGCTGACTCCTGCACATTTTTGGCAACCCGCGGATGTTTTACCAAAGCCACAGCATTACACCATAGCACAAGTAATACAGCAATGAGGGACGACAGACAAGTAAGAAACATTAATCAGAAAACACAAGCTGGGATGTTTCAGGTGCCATACCAGACTAGTCATGGCAGAGCTTGGAAAACAATTCTAGAAGGAACGAAGAGAGGAAAAAGGCATAGAAAAGGTTCGAGAAGAAAACGGGGGCTAAGACATAACTTTGAAATAGATTCTCGGAAACGGCTGCAAAAAGCTGAACTTTTTCTACGAACGTAACACACAAAACCATTGGAGACACAATGAATACAACAAAACTTTCTTATTTATAAATGTCACCCCCACACCGACTAGACCAAAAAAAAAAAGGACCAAACTATCTGATTAACCACTCCCAGGATATCTGTTTCAGAATAAAATTCTCTTCTTGCATCTACCCTGCCAAATATTGAAAACGACAGAAAACGGATGCCTAAATTGGAGTCTTGGCATCCAATGAGGCAGGTTGGCTCTGCTCCTGACAGATTGCCACACATGCGAACGCCTGGTGACGATGGCCAGGTTTTTCCCTCGAGCACCGCCCCACGAACTTCATGTGATATTGCCTCATTGTGGTTCTGTCACAATGCCCAAATAAATAATTAACTCGCCCTGACCTTTCCTAGCGCACGTGCGTTCTGTTGCGTTTAGGGCGGGTTGACAAAATACAGAGATTGACAAGCAAGAACATGGATACAGACTGGTGGCAGCGGTGGCGTCGCAAAAAAAAGAGTAAAATTGGATGCAACAAGAGAAGGGATATAATATAAGGGTTGTTGGAAGCATAATGAGGTGGAGGGCGAGGCTAGATCAGCAGGGTCTGTCGTTGTTAGTGTCATAAGACACTCGTTGGGTGATCCCGAGGCCCCAGGTTCGTCTCTCATAAGAACCTAAACTGTTTTTCAAGGCTTTCAGATACTGATTCGGTCCTATTGAAAACATGCTAATGCACAGAAGCCGCTTCAAATTAGATACGGGCGTAAAAAAGCAAGCGGCATCGAGATTTCTGAACAAACCAGACAGACAGACAGACAGACAGACAGACGGACAGACAGACAGACAGACAGACAGACAGACAGACAGACAGACAGACAGACAGAC